AAAACTAAAGTAACGAGCCAATTTTTTAAAATGTAAGGAGTAGAAGTAAAAAGTCGCCATAAAAATAAGTAGTAAAGTAAAGTAAAAATATCAGAAAAATCTACTTGAGTACATACGAAGTATTTGTACTTCGTTACTTCCCATCTCTGCCTGTTAGTAAGGTGAAGTCAGCAATCAACCTACCATCGAAGTTTTTGGACTGTGGGAGGAAGCAGGAGTACCCAGGGACAACCCATGCATGCTCAGTGAAAACATGCAAACTCCCTGCAGAAAGAACCTGGCATTGCAATTGAGTATTTCCCACCTCAGACCCATGGGTGTTACCAACTGTTCCACTGTGCAGCACTTCTACTAATTACATGTAGGAAACACTCCATAAGTAACTGCTCTGGAATTTTAACTGTAATAATTTTCATCTTGGAATGGATAGGAATACAGAACGTGATGGATTGACATATTAAAATGAAATTTTTGTTAAAGTTTTTTTTTTCCCTCTTAATTATGTATTTGTATTTGTTTTGACTTCTGTAATTTGTTTTGTTTGTATTTATAAATCAACACCTTTGGGAAAGGAACATGTAAACAATTTATGAAATTCTGTAAAGAAATGGTTTACTTTACCAGCCACTATTCTCTGACTATGACACCAGTAGCCCAGATTTGTTTTTTGACTTTTTACAAGGTGAAAAAACAACAACAAAAAAACATCCTAATATTACAATGCTTTGCTGAAAAATCAAGATTTATTGTTTTTATGAAATTTGACTATTTTTATTTTAATCCATGTATAATTTCCTTTAAATTATTGATGTGTGTCAATATATAAGTTAATTTAATAATCTCCATTTAAGCCTTTTTAACTACTGGTTAATAAAGGAATCAACTCTATCCTGGAAGCAGCTTCCAGACACGCACCTTGATTCTCTGTACTCCGACACCAGGCTTTTATTTTGAAAGGTATAAAGGAAGTAGTCTTTCCTCATCAGGTTCGCTTTGATTGGCAGGTCTGCCGCTTTGAGCGCCTCTGATCTCTGTGGTCCTCGTAGCCTTAACGCTCGAGACGCTTTTAATTAGACGCTTCCCAGCCGCGCTCCTTCCTGACTTTTTAATTCTCTTCCAACTTTTTATTTTTATCTCTTTCTTAGGAAACTTCTTAAAACGTGCACGTATGCTAATCAGCAGGTGATAAGGAATTACTCCCCTTCCTTTCTGTGAAATACGTAAATTCGACTCCTCTTTTGAAGAAGCTGTGGCCGCGCGCGGCGTGTTCCGGTCCACTTCCGGCCTCCTCGGACTCGTTGGGTTCGGATCCGTGGACGTGGAAAAACTCACCTGGATCCTCGGAGCTTCGGACGTTCAGGTGAAGCACAAAGAAAAACGCAGCAGAGGTGAGTCTGTTCAATGAAGCTCTGAGCTTTCAGCTGGAAATCTGCTTTAAACTTGACTTTATTACACTTAGTATGATTATTATCACCTGGACGAAAATATTTACATTTATAAAATAAAAATAAAGAGAAGCTTTTATCAATTAAAACAACTACTAGATAAGAAAGTGTAGCTGGTCTGAGGTCAGCTGCTCCTCAGCCTCACCTTAGCAGCATCATAGCTGCTGTTCCATCCTACTGCTGCTGCAAAGAGTGGAGCCTTTCAGTCAGCTGACCAGCTGTGCGCAGCAGCAGGTGGGGTACCTACGGTGGCCGGCAGGTACAAACAAGCAGCAAACAATGAAATGAGCTGCTAAAGCATGCGATTCAACTTTATTTATCCCTGGGGATTCCTCCTTCAGGGAAACTCTGGTTCCAATAACTTATATAGAGTACAAAGGGTTAAAGCAAGCTGTCAATAAAAATAAATATAAAATATGACAGACAATATAAAAAGACTTTATATAGTAGAAAAAAGCATGAAAATAAGAATAGTTTTAATGTCCTGGAATATGTTTTCCTTAGATATCAAATATCTGCACAGTAGAGAGCTAAGGGGAGGCTGTACAGTAGTTGACTTGGATTATTGCGCTTCTACTGCAGAGATGGACTGACCTTATAAATAAGTAAAAATTATACAGGCTACACAGTAGTTAGCATGGGTTATTGCACAGTTAGAGAGAGGAATATTGCACATGAGTAAGAATAGGTAATGTTTTGCAAAAACACACAAACACAGAAAACAAATGCAAAAGAAAAAACGCTGAAAAAAAAATGCTGAAATCACTGATAATGGAAGCAAGAAAACCTACAAACAAGAAAACAAATATATATATATATATATATATATATGCATGAAGCTGAAATAGCAACGACCAAATGATAAAAACCTGCGCAAAATCACTCCAAAAACTTGCGCCACACCACTAAAGGGAGCTGAACAAAGAACGAACCATGTTGCATCATAGTCCTACTTATATTAATATACATAACTATGCTGTTAATCTGTAATACTGTGAGATTAAGTGTTTAAAATCCTGCTTTAAAGCTTAACTTCCTGTTTGTACGGAACACGTTTGCTGTCGTTTTTACTATTTGCATCTCTTTCTTTCTGTGGTTGCACCTTTTTTATTTGGATTTGCATTAATTGTTTTTGCTTCTATCTTTAATAATTGCTGATTTTTTTTTCTGTAGCATTTGTTTTTTTCTGCCTTTGCAGCTCACTTATTTTTTTATTTTTTTCCTGCACGTTTGCATCTGTTGGTAGTGTCAGAAATATGATGAAATCTTTTATGATTATTTCTAAAAACACAGCATAACTTGATAAGTTCCGGCCACTATCTAAAGCTCTGAAGGTGTTTTCTCTATATAAGGCTGTGTTTATTCAGCCTATTGCTGTTAATTAGGTAGAAGTTGATTTTAAAAGACACATCTGCTCAAATGTTTCTGCTCTTTAAAGTCCTTTAAAAGTGAAAGAAATGCTGTCGCCCTTTAACCTATCTTTGGGTGAAGGGTGTCACTTCCAGAAAGGAGATGAGCAGCATCTTTGGTGCCTCCTTAGCTGATAGCACAACTCATTAGCAAGATAATTATGCATTTAATGAGAAGAAAGACATTAATATTTCACACGGTAAGTATTAAGGATGCACGATATTGGGATTTTGGCCGATATGCCGATATTTTAAAACTCATGTAGCCGATAACCGATCTCGATACCGATGTTAAAGCTGGACTAAAATAATTA